CAATAAATCAAAAAATTAGCCGGGCATGGTAGCGCACTCCGGTAGTTCCAGCTATTTGGAAGGCTGAGGGGGAAGGATCGCCAGAGCCCAGCAGGTCGAGGCTGCGGTGGCCGGGAGCGGCCACTGCACTCCAGTCTGGGCGACAGAGTGGGACGCCAACTCAAAAAAAAAAAAAAGAAAAAAAGAATTAGCCAGGTGTAATGGTATACACCTATGTTCCCAGCTAATCAGAAGGATAAGGCAGAAGGATTGCCTAAGCCCAGGAGGTTGAGGCTAAGGTAAGCCTTGATTTTGCCACTGCACTGCAGCCTGGGTGACAAAGTGAGACCCTGAGTAAAAATAAATAAATTTTAAAAGAGATTTAAAAAATATTTCATGTAGGAGGGCTAAGAAACAGTATTTTAATGTAAGAAACTAATTTTTTCTGCCCTCTTAGCTATCTTTATTTAGAACTATTACCTTGTAATAATGCTGTACACATACTCCGTACTAAATAGATGTCTGTTTCTTAAAATATAAAATGGGGGGAACTGAAATTTTTCTCATGGTTATAATAAAAGACAACAAAATCCCTTAGAAAGATATATGGTTAGTGGATGGGAAGACCTCAGCTTCTCTCTCCCTGCATTGCTGAGAACCTCAGATATAATTTTGTGGGTAGCTAGATGGCAAACTGTGAGTCAAAGCCAAGTCACACTGTATAGGGTCCCCATGAATCTTCTCCATAGGATAGAGACAGGCTGGCATCTGGGATAGGCGGAGAGAAAAAGTCCACCATTGAAGACATTCAGAGCCGGGCTTGGTGGCTCAGCCTGTAATCCTGCGCTTTGGGAGGCTGAGGTGAGTGGATTGCCTGAGCCCACGGGTTCGAGACCCGCCTGGGCAGCGAGACCTCATCTCTACAATAAATAAAAAAATCAGCCGGGTGTGGTAGCGCATGCCTGTAATTCTGGCTACTTGGAAGGCTGAGGCGGAAGGATCACCGGAGCCCAGCAGGTCGAGGCTGTGGTGGCCGGGAGTGGCCACTGCACTCCAGTCTGGGCGACAGAGTGAGACTCCCAACTCAAAAAAAAAAAAAAAAAAAAAAGACATTCAGAACAGTTTAAAATTACATTTACAATTAACTTCTTTGCACCTCAGTTTCTCTGCCCATAAGATGAGAATATCAGTGCCTGCTTCCTACCTCCTGCCATAAGGCTGAATTAGATAATGAAGGGGAGATGCTTTTAGTTCCTTAGATGAAATGTGCTGCATAGATGCAAAACATTATTGTCCTCTGCTGAATCAGACTATAGAGGCTCCTTTTTTTTTTTTGAATTGGAGTCTCACTTCATCACTCAGGCTGGAGTACAGTGGCACACTCACGGTCACCCCAGCATTGACCTGCTAGGCTCTGGCGATCCTTCTGCCTCAGCCTTCCAAGCATCTGGAACTACAGGCATGCGCTACCATGCCTGGCTAATTTTTTTTTTTTTTT